CCGTGGTCAATAAATAATAGTTATAAAATTTCACGACTAATCGATCAGTCGACCGCTGGCCACTACCTTGCCATTTGTATTTATAGATCGTGCATTTTAATTTTGAACATCAGTCCACAGTATCTCAGCAGCACCCACAAAGACAGTAGAGGTATCCTCCGGAACCTATAGGTGTAGGACGTGAGCGACTCGCGGAGTATCTTCGTCAAATTTACTCCAGAGAGTTTCGCCCGTCCGGCACAAAAATATTATTTTGCAAGTGGTTCAAAATTTGAAATGTTTAGGGGTTGACTACCTTTTTTTTAACTTGTACATGGTACTCTTTTTACTTTGTGGGTTTTAAATCATGTTGTGGCAAAATAGTCTAATAAGTAACAAATAATAGCACTCATTGCGATCGCTCACAAACTCAAGTTGTTAATAAATTTCTGGAAAACAAAACTCCTGTTAAAAAAACTATGCATTTATCTTATTGTTTAATTTTGCTTAGAATGGTTGAACTGTCGTCTTATTACTATCATATGGCCGAATAGACCTACGAAGTACCATGGGCGCTTGTGATATGGTATAACGTTTATTTTTGCTTAAAACAATTCGAAACCGTTCATGCATAAAAAAGTTCGCTATAAATAGTCTTTTGTCAATCTGCCGCCGTATAACGCCGGCGTTTTTATCCTTTTGAAAACACTTGTTTTGCTATTCTTACTAATTAGATGTTTTCAGATCAACTTTACTTTTACGTTTGTATGACATTAAATAATATTTAACATTTGTAAATATCAATGAATCATAAACCTTATTTTTTACCAAATTAAGGTTCTCGATTGTTTGATATTTACAAATGTTATTATTAGGTGAAAATTTAATTTAATAAAAACCAAGGTTTTCCAGGGTGATTTAGCTATACATACTTATATAAATAATTTTTTTATAAAACGTAAAATAGTACAAAAGGTTTGTAATCTCTGCATAAAATAAGTCACTTACTCTCAATTTCAAAGAAAACACGTAGTTACCCACTAAAAACAAGAATCCTTCCGTTTGTAACTGATGTTTGATGTCAACTAAACTTAATTAGGTCTAAACAAGTGAAAAAAGCATAAAAAAGAAAATTGTTTTTACACATGGCTGATGGCACAATAGGTGTGTCGTCAACCTCTGTGGCGCTTGACACGCCAGGCGTATCATGAAATATTTGTTCGCCGCCACAGCTAAAAGTTGTCTAAAATTGGTGCCGCAACGAATCGGTTAATCGAAATAATCATCAATAATCTGTATAGTATAGGCCCTACAGGAAATGAATGTTGTGTATGTACATCTTGTTCTTTTAAGTGAGGCTTTGTGAATAAAAAACAATTTGATTTTTCAGGCAGGTGGACCATCAAACCTGTTAATGGACTTGGCTGCTAATGAAAAAGCTGTTCATGCAGATTTTTTTAATGGTATGTCCAAATAAAACATGACAATATTTAATCATTTTTTAGGTTAATATGCTCATTATCTTCAATGAGTCACACCACTGCACCACATAAGTAAACCTCTGCTGTGCCTAATACGAAAATTGTGTTATATATATTCAGTTAAATAGAAAGTGCGAAAACTGCGAAACAACCCTATACCCTCCAAACTATCTTCAACAATATCCTAATATCAGAACAGATTCCTAGACAATGGGAAACCTCGTACATAATTCTTATACACAAAAAAGGCTCAAAAGAAGACTTATCGAACTCAAGACCAATAAGCCTGATGTCGAACATATATAAGGTCTTCTCCAAGATATTACTAGATCGAATAAGCATCATATTGGACACAAACGATCCAATAGAACAGGCTGGCTTTAGGAAAAACTTCGCAACAATAGACAATATATACACACATTCAAACAAATATTCGAAAAGTACATTGAATATAACAAACCAGTGTACATGGCCTTCATTGATTATACCAATGCTTTTGATAGCATTAGACATGAAGCGATATCCGAAAGCTTAGAAAAACAGGGAATATCCAGGGCTTAAATAAACATTAAAAAAATATATGCTAAATGTAAAGCAAGAATACAAATGGAAACACTCGAAGAAGTATTCAAAATTGAAAGAGGTGTCAGGCTATTCTCTATTCTCAGCTGTGCTTGAAAACATATTCGGAAAACTAGAATGGAATGAATGTGGACTTAATATAGATGGAAGACTACATCATCTCCCGATTTGCAGACGACATCCTGTTCGAAGAGAACCCCTACAAACTTGAAGAAATTATACAAGACCGAAACAAAGAAAGTGAGGTCGGGCTGGCAATGAACGCAAGCAAAACAAATTCAATCCCATAAGAAATAAAAATCAACAACCAACCTCTCGAGTATGTAAGAGTAGTACATATATCTGGGACAAATAATCTCACAAATAGATTTAACTACCAAGGAAATCAAAAGGAGAATAGCCAATGGATGGAATAGATATTGTTCACTAAAGGCGATCATGAAATCTACAGATCTTAGTAAAAATGTTAAGAGCAGGGTCTTTAACACCTGTATTCTCCCATGCCTTACTTATGGCTGCGAAACTTTGGCACGTTCTAAGCAACACAGGGATATGCTCGAACACTGTCAAAGAGTCACGGAAAGAAGCATGCTGAGAATCAGAAAAATAGATAAGCAAAAAAACATATAAGAGCAAGAACAGGTGTGACAAATATTCTCACTAAAATAGACCACACAAAGTGGAGATAGACGGGTCATATGCTATGGAGAGCCCCCATGGTAAATAGAGCACAAAGTATTGACAGAATGATACCCCAGAAACGGGAAATAAAATAGAGGTCGACAATGCACAAGATGGTAGAACGAATTAAAATTAACATGGGTTATAACTGGAGAAGAATCGCAAAAGATAGAGAACAATGGAAATCGTTGGAGGCCTTTGCCAAGAGGCACACCATACTCCGAGACATATTTTTTTTATAGGAGAGGGGGCAAACGAGCATGCGGCTCACCTGATGGTAAGTGACTACCGCCGCCCATGAACAACTGCAACACCAGGGGAACCAGGGGAGTTGCAGATGCGTTGCCGGCCTTTTAAAAAGGAGTAGGCTCTTTTCTTGAAGGTCCCTAAGTCGTATCGGTCCGCAAAAATTGCTGATGGTATCCATAAGGAAGTTGTGCGAAGATGGTGTGGATGATATCGGGAATTCTGCCGCGATGTGCGTTCGTGAAATTTGAACAGACGTCCTCCCTGACGAATACGCAAACTCCAGCCCGAGGCACAAAGGAGTGTTCCAATTTGTACCCCGGGTAGGAGAGATACCGAAGTATCAGCCGGAGAGGACACCTGCGTCTCGGTCAGAAAGAGCAAGGTCGGCTTCGCCGTCTCGAGATGGTACTGGACGGCTTTTAGGTTCGAGTGAAGTCCCCTGATATTACAGAAATTCACGGATAGCGAGACAGGGGTCGCCTTGGTCTTGTTGCTCAGTTTGCCCCGAGCAGTTATTGTGTTGAGCGGAATCTCCCCCCCCCCCCCCTCCCCATGGTACCATGTGAGGTCGTGGTACCAATCCGGCTCGCGCCGGCCCATACGTGCAACAGCAAAAACTGCCGCGTGGCTCTACCACCGTTAGATTATAATAAAACTGTATAAGATAGGGAGTTTCGGGATATAAAGGCTATATTATTATTATTATAGGTATATAGTTTTTTTTCACAAAAAACGAACTTGATGTTCCATTAAGACACTACAACATGTCAATAGTATTTCAGGATCACAGTCTGTGGTAGTCTTTGGAAGGAACTTATGTTCAGCAGTGAAATTGATATATATGATTTAATCCAATAAGATTTAAATTTTACAGCAGATAATGGTAGCTCTCAAGTGGTGAGAATTTACAGGTCCTCTAGGTTAAGAGTACAAGCTAGAGCCAAATGTTGGTGTTAGTTAAAATATTGTTACATCGAATAAGTTACGTGTAGGTTACATCATAGATTTACGTGAACATATAATATACCTGTACATTATGTAAAAAATGAGATCTAGTCTAAAATTTCGAAATTAAGGATTTTGATTCCCACTGGTAGCAAACCTGCAGCATGTCTAAGTATTTGTGAGATTCGCCGAGACGCCTTACAAGCAACGCGGCGAACTCTTCTTACTCTAAAAACAGACATGAGTGTGACATGTGCCCACTTACTTTAGGGAAAGTTAACACTTCATTTCAGCATGAATTTCTAATAAACAAATATGTTTTTGTTTCAGATTTCGAAGATTTGTTTGACGACGATGATTTAAAGTGATGAAATGTAGTTGATAATAAGCATTTTTTATTATAATAAAATAAAAATAAATATTTCTTTGTCTTGAGAAATTTATTTTCTCTTATTTAAAACAATTCTAAATCAATATTATAAATAATATTTACTAAAAATCGACATTAAAATATTTTACGACAAATCAAGTAGCAATATTTTCCATATAAGACTATCCATCAGCATCCTGTACCGTCCACTGCTTGATTCGATTAGGGCTATTTAAGCTCACTATACATCTGAATACACTATCCAATTATTACATTAATTTTGTTATTCACATAAAATGTGATATTTGATTAATAATGATGTGTTGCCTGTTGTATGGTATCAAAGTAGACTTAAAGCAAAATACGTAAATCAAACATGAAACAGGAATAGTGTGAAGCAACCTATTATAAATAATACCAATTCAGCAACAATAATCCCAAACTAATGAGATGTGTCATTACAATAATATGAAAAATATGATGATTATAACAATGTGTAATCATTATATTTATGTATAACATGTATAAATATAATTTATATATAAGAAATTCAATCAAGAGTCATGTCTGTGTGCGCATTGTAATAAATTTGCGTCGAAGTGTTTCAAGTAATGACACATATCATGCTCAGATAATCAGTAATTGCTAGTAACATCCATTTCTTATAAACCGTGAGGTGTTTGCTTCGCGCCGTGTAGCGCGAGCTGGGGTCGCTAGACGTCTACATCACTACTGTCTTCGCTGTATTCGTTACGCTCATCTTCTTCTTGCTCGTCCTTTACGTCTGTTTCGTCTAAAGTTTCATCTTCATTTTCAGCTTCTTCAATGTCTTCCTCTTCTAATAAGTTACTAAGAGTGCTATCACCTCTTCCCATTTCTGAAAGAAAATGATTTGTTTATTAGATATTTTCTATTATAGGTCTAGATCTTTTCCCTTTCGTCATCTTGTTAAAGTACACAGCTGGAAATGGGCCATCCCCCATTGTAGGGAAGATTTGCCTCAGGCGAGGGTTTCACGTGAGCTGAAACTATCGACTACCCCAGTCAGTCCCCATGCTTTGTGTCTTTCGTGTTTATCTTGGATGTGTTTTTGCCAGTGGCATCCACGCCCAAGCTACCCTAGTCCCCAGAGCGTGGGTGGTCAGGTTACCTCACGTATTCAAATCCGCGTATACAAACGCGGACGCGGGTACGAGAGCGACGTGACTGTCCGCAGTCGAGTGCGGCTTCGTTCTGAGTATTGTAGAGTCCAGTGTTTGTCAAAATATAATATGGATGAAGAATACTTTTTTTTTACTGGGAAGTTCTTACTTTAAATGACACATTTTACAAGTGGAAAATGGAATTTATCAAATCTATTTATCCAGAGAAAATGAAGGACAATTTCACACACTGTATGTAAAATTGCGAGCGCAACCTCATAAGTTTATTAAAAAACATAGAAAATCTTTATATATAAAAATTACGTATCACATTGTATGTCCGCGATGGACTCCTAAACTACTGAACTGATTTCAATGAAATTTTGCACACTGTGTGCAGTTTGGTCCAACTTGAATGATAGGATAGTTTTTATCCCGATAAGTTACCCTCAATTTTTTTTATTGCTAATTTCAGGAGTTTTTTTTTTAGAAAAGCAAATGGTCGTCGGAAAGGGCAGAACAGAACAACGTCTGCCTGGTCTGCTAGTAGTAAAATATTCTACATTTATTTCGGAAAACGTCATTACAACGCGCGCGGTTAACTAAAAGTCCGCACTCACAGCGGCCACTTGTAGGAACGACCTATGGCTTGCGTTGCCCGTACACTACCTGCGCCAACTGGCACGCGCTCGTCGCCGCGTCCGCGTACCCACTATGGACACTGAAATAAAGACTTATGTTTGAGTACGACGCGTCGCACCCGCCCCGCGCCCGCATTTGCAGTCTGGCCAAGCACATACTGCTCAGGGTAAGAGGAGCAATAAGACCAAGGCGACCCCTGTCACGCTATCCGTGAATTTTTGCAACATCAGGGGACTTCATTCAAACCTAACGCTGTCCACTACCATCTGGAGACTACGAAGCCGGCTTTGCTCTTTTTAACCTAGACTCATGTGTCCCCTCCGGCTGATACTTCATATCTCTCCTACCCGGGGTACAAATTAGAGCACTCCTTTGTGCCCCAGGCTGGAGTTTGCGTATACGACGTCAGAGAAGACATCTGTTTTCGACGCCTCGGCGGTCTTGATGGTACGGAGCTGTGCATCCTATGGCTACGCGTAGACAGCGACGACCATCCCCTCATCTACGGATGCTTCTATATGTCGAATAGCGGTAATGCCGAAACACAGAGACCCATTGACTACGTCCAAATGGCTACAGATTCCTTGCTACAGCACATCACATCGGTCGTGAACCTTGGCGATTTTAATGCCCACCACGCCGAATGGCTTGGTTTACGTTTAACCGATCATGTGGGTAGATCTGTTTATGATTTTCCCTTGGCATATGGTCTTACTTAGCTGGTTACTTCGCCTACGCGTGTTCCATATGTGGAGGATCATGCACCTTCCCTGTTGGACCTTCTACTGACCTGTCATCCGGACGGATATCAGGTTTCCGTCGATGCCCCTCTTGGCTTCTCGGATCATTGTCTTGTCCGGAGTGTGGTGCCACTTACACTAACATCGCGGTTGCATTCTGCAGGTTGCTGCCGTGTTCGGCACTATAGGTCGGTCTATTGGGATAGGCTATATATAACATCGGAATCCTTGGTGTGCAGTTTCGTGGTCACTTGGAAGGGAAGGTCAAATTGGTCTCTAAAAAGCTTGGCGTGCTCAGCAGAGCTGAACAGTATATTTCATGCTGGCACACCGCCTGCAACTTTACAAGGCGCAGGTTCGGCCTCACATGGAATACTGTTCTTATCTCTGGGCTGGGGTAGCCCAGTGCCAGCTACTTCCACTTGACCGCATCCACCGTAGAACAGTTCGAATAGTCAACGAACGAGTTCTTTCTGATCGGTTCGATTCACTGGTGCTACATAGGGATGTTGCATTCCTTTGCATTTTGAGGAATTACCTCACAGAAGACCAGCTTAACGCTACTGTGTTTAGATAACCGGAGACCCTTTTAACTGGAAACGAGGCATTACATATTATTTGCAATGAATTTAATAATACTTTTACTTCTAAAACATTCTCCTTGAACAGTCGGAAGTCATTCAATGAATGGGCGACAGTAGGAATCCATAAGAGCAGGCATAGGTTATATGATCTTTACCATGAAAGGTCATATAATCATAGCGTCGAATTTAGGGAATATGTAAAAAAATATTCAAAAATATTTAAAAGAGTGTGCTCCATAGCCAAGTCTTTGCATTTGAGCAACAAAATTAAGACGGCTTCCAATAAAATTAAAATGACATGGAGTATAATTAATAGCGAAACTGGTAAGATCAACTCTCGCAATTCAAATTACCAGTTAAGTGTTAACAACAAATTAACTGTATCAGATCAGGACGTAGCAATGGTTTTTGAGAAATATTTTACTGATATTCCGATCTTGACCACTAAGTCACTGAATTCTTCTCCTGCCGTCGCCGAATCATTACTTAAACAAAATGTAAATGTGTGTACAAAGAATTTTACATTTCATAAAGTGTCATCAAAAGATATTGTAAAATATTTTAAAACTATTGATGTTAAGAAAACTGCGGATCTGTGGGGGATTTCCGTTAAAGTTATTGCGTCTATAATAGATACAATCGCGCCTTATTTAGCTATTATTTTTAATACTAGTATCGAATCTGGTGTGTTTCCTGTTTTAATGAAGCATAGTAAAGTAATACCTTTATTTAAATCTGGTAGTACATTAGACCCCGCCAATTTTAGACCTATTTCTGTACTACCAACACTTAGTAAGATTTTTGAAAAAATTGTTCTTGATCAAATGTTAATTTTTTTAATATAAATAATTTACTTCATAAAAATCAATTTGGTTTCACAAGGGGTCGCTCGACAACTGATGCCGGTGTTGAGCTGATTAAATATATCTTTAATGCATGGGAGAATTCACAGGATGCTTTGGGTATATTTTGTGACCTATCCAAGGCCTTCGATTGTGTTCACCATGAAACATTAATCAGGAAACTTCAACACTACGGTGTAAGAAGTGATGCCCTTAAATTAATTATTTCATATTTAAGAAAGAGAACGCAAAAGGTTGTCATTAACAATATGAGCTCTTCCGGATCGATGGTACAAATGGGCGTGCCTCAAGGCTCAATTCTCGGCCCCTTTCTGTTTCTTGTATACATTAATGACTTACCTTACATAGTAGGAGATAACCATGATATAGTATTATTTGCAGATGATACTTCTTTAATTTTCAAATTAAGTCGACAGTTACTAAAATATGATGAAGTAAATAATGCTATATCTAAATTAGTAAATTGGTTCGATGTTAATAATTTGCATTTAAATGGCACTAAAACAAAATGTATGAAATTCGTGACTCCAAATGTCAAACAATTAAATACTAATGTAATTTTAAATGGGGAGAAACTGAGTCTTGTAGATACCACCATTTTTCTTGGAATCACACTAGACGCGAAGCTTCAATGGAGCCCCCATATATCAAAACTAGCAAGCAGACTTAGTTCTGTAGCATATGCTGTAAAAAAGATTAGAAGTCTAACCAGTGTTGAAACAGCTAGACTAGTTTACTTCAGCTACTTCCATAGCATAATGTCGTATGGTATTTTGCTATGGGGACACGCAGCTGACACTGAAATTATATTTGTTTTGCAGAAGAGGGCCATAAGAGCAATTTATGATTTAAAGCCTAAAGAGTCGCTGCGACAAAAATTTAAGGAAATTAATATATTAACTTTGGCCTCTCAATACATTTATGAAAATGTAATGTACGTACACAAAAATAAAAGTAGTTTTATAAAAATAAGTGATATTCATTCTGTAAATACTAGGAACAGACACAAGCTAGTAGTACCAGTTACTCGACTCCATCGAGTCAGTAATTCATTCTTGGGGCGATGTATACGCTTTTACAACTAAATTCCAGAAAATATACAAAGTTTGGCCTGTTCAAAGTTCAAAAACTTTATTAAACTAAGTTTGTATAAAAAGGGTTATTATAATATTAAGGAATTTATGGATGATAATAACCCCTGGAAATGAGGTGATCGCTACCAAGCTATTTCTAATTTGTTGTGTTGTTAATTTGTGTAACATCATGATTGTAAGCTGTTATTTAAAAAAAAGTCCCGCTGGGTTTCTTGCTGGTTCTTCCCAGGACAGAGGTTTTTTCCGAACCAGTGGTAATCAAACAAAAGAGTGACTTTCAATAAGTATTATTTATAATCTATATTGAATAAAAAAGTTTCTGTTCTGTTTCATCTAGTCCTCACGGGTGATAACGCATCTGCATTTTGATTCGTAATCGAGGATGGATGTAAATGTATATGGGGCGCAGCAACCATTTACCATCGGGTGGACTGTGTGCTCGATTGTTACCCTTATCCTATAAGAACATTTCTATCGCATCTACCACGGGGAGGGCTCTGAGGAATTGTTCGGATTAAGCCCAGCCGCCAAATTTCACGAACGCACACCGCGTCAAATTCATCCACACCATCTGGATGCTTGACGGTCCACCACTGCGTTTTTTTAAGAGTTTTCTTCCTCGCACAGCTTTTCTGTGGAATTGTTTACCACCGGCGATTTTTTCGGACCGATACGACTTAGGGACCTTCAAGAAGAGAGCTTACTTTTTTCTAAGAGGCCGTTAACGTACCTGTAATGCCCCCGGTGTCGCGGTTGTTCATGGGCGGTAGTAGTCACTTACCATCAGGTGAGCCGCATAGTCGTTTGCCTCCCTCTTCTATAAAAAAAAAATGAGAAACGCCACCGCGCTCGCCATTTTACACAATTTTAACTTTTCGAATATTTGAAATTTAGAGATCACTCTTAAATTTAGGAGATGCTTCAAATTTAAATATGAAAATACGAATAGAGTTTAGGAGCTGATCAAATGTTTGACAAGCATAAGAAATCATCTATGACAAATGCAAACAGAGGAGTTGATACCATAAGTATCTATTTCATTATAGCATCAAATTATACTATGTGCATTACCTTTTACCTCCTTACGAAATTTAAGTGTTGTGTCAATTACACTAATTCAGTAAAATTAATTACAGCATTTTAATAATAAATGGAATTTTAACTAATTGATCTCCACTGCATGAACATAATAGTAGGACATTATTTTTTAAAGAACTGTAGGAAAAGTTAGCCTAAAATCAATTACTTACGTTCCACATATACTTCTAATGATTTTGGTACCATATTTTTAACTTTATTTAGATCATCTTCTGTACACTCCCCCTTGTCCAACCCTGTAAAAATATAAAATTTGTATACTTGACAGCTATAATGTTCAATGTACATCGGCTAAAGCAGTCGGCTATAGGCCTTTTTTAAATGCCGGCGTCTGTCTTTCCGTCCGATTTTAATCTGGTTATTTTCAGGGCAAGATTGAAATTGCTTGATTACGCTAAGACAATGCAATTTAGAACTCTAGGCCGTTCTTTGAATTCATTACTACTTACAAACAGGTGGGATTGTAGTAGTCATACAAGGGCTCATAATAAGTAAAATGAAAATTATAAATCTACAATCTCTCAATTGTTATTTATAATTTTTAAAACAATTTATAATAACAGTAATTGATAAATGACACAGCAGTAAAATTGACTGGAGGAATGTAGCCATTATTGCAAACTTAGTAATTATTAGTTATAGTATTTTGCAGTCATTTTCTATTTCTTAAGAGAACAAAAATTATATTGCTGGAAAGATTTGATTTACGAGTATGTATATATCGGTATAAATATTAAAAGGCTCATCTCAGTACAAAAGAGATTTTTCTTTATTTTTTTTTTAATGAAACCCTGATCAGCATTATAATTCTATAGTTATTTGTAGGAAACTCTATATATAAGCGAAATACCACTGACTGACTTATCATGATATTTCTAAAACTATACACCAGATTAACTTGAAATTTGGTATAACTCATTTCCCAACGTAGACGCTCACTAAGAACGGATTTTAAGTCTCATAAAATTTTTCTTGCGTTATTATCGTCTGTTATCGTGCGCCCACCGAAGCGAGCGGGTATCAGCTAGTTATTATTACACTTATATATTATATCTATTGTAAATTACAAAGCAACATTTCAAAAAACTTAGCGTTGGCAGCCATACTAGTATAAACTGTATTATAGGGGTCAGCAATATTATATGTTTATAACTCACCAAACAGAAGACCCATCCTTTTTAATATATCTATATCATCATGTATCTGGAACCTCTTGTTAAAGTTAAACATATATTCTGTCCTGAAATTTTGAATTTGATATTATGTTTTTGATCAAATTTATGAATAAAGATGACTAATATGTAAACACAATGAACAAAATAAGGAACAAAATTAATTAAATAGAGTATGAGTGTAGTAGTGTAGTTATGGTTTCTTTGTTGTCAAATATTTTTAAATTTCAAGTGAAAACGTTGATACAGTAAAATACTATTATATCATATTTAGTTAAATTGTATGCTTTAATCGTTCTGTTTTTGTTGCATATGCGTGGAAGAATATTAAAAATAAGTTTTGTAGCTAGTTTTTCCAAATCTGTGAAGGCACTATAAAATATTACGGACATTATTTAACTTTTAAATTGAGGTCTTAAATCTTAAACTCCAAAACGAAAGCCATCTAACCAAAAATTCACCGTGTGATCATTCGATGTACAAGTTTCATAGATATAGCGTGCTATCTGTGCATTATTAGTACCATGATGTAAATCATACTTGAAAATAACTTGAATTTTAAAGTTGTCATTTCACCAGGTAATAACAAAGATTGAAGAGGCCATCCAAAACAAAGCAATATGCCTAGGTTTCTTCATAGATATAGAAGGTGCTTTTGACAGAACAAACTTCTCTAGCATAAAAGCTATACTAAGTAGACAAAGTTGAACTGACACTGATTGAGTGGATAGTAAACATGCTCACTACACGAACAATAAAGATTGCTGGTGAATCTCAAACAATCCTGATCAAGAAAGTATGCTCGCAGGGTGGGCTTGTTTCACCTCTTCTGTGGAATATGGTCATCAATGAACTCATCAGCAAATTAAAAGGCCAATATCAAAAGTGATTGAAATAGAAAAAAGTGGGTTATGCAGATGACCTGACAATACAGATCTCTGAAAAGACAGCAAGCATGGTGTGCAACCTGACTCAAGCAGCTCTCCATATAGTGGAGAGATGGTGCAAGGAATATGACTTAACCATTAATCCAAATAAAACGGTTCATACAAAAACGAATGCTGAATAACTATCACCTCCCAAGTCTCGTCAGCACAAAATCCAGCTATTCTCTGAGGTAAAATATTTAGGTCTCAACTTAGATAATAAAATGAACTGGAATAAACACATAGAAAACAAAATGAATAAATATAGTATAGCTTTCTGGCAATGCAAAACATGATTTGGAGTTTGACACCAAAAATTATACTGTGGTTATACAAAATGTTGATTCAGCCTACGGTGCTCTGGTATAGTGGACCAATACAAATAAAGCCACGACGGTAAAGAAGCTTCAGCGTTACCAGAGACTGGCATGTATGGCTGCCACGGGCTGTATAAGAACTACAGCAACAGTAGCCTTAGGCCTGAACTCCTCCTATGCTGACGTCGGTTGCGTACGATTGGTCGCGTACATCAGCGAAAAATAAAATATCATATGGCAATACCGAGCTCTAAACGGTACAGTCGTCTTCTAAGTTGATTTCGGAAAGGAGATCGGTCAGTAAAATACAATGTAATTTGTAAAAATAATTATGAATTATTAACATTGTCTCTAACTTACCGATCCTTTTTTTTACTATCGTCCTCATTATTGTAATCTGGAAATAAAGACTCGAAAACTTCTACCCAGTATTTTGCTCTCCCATCTTTGTACAAATCATTAGGTAAATAAGACATTCTGTATTGATATTCATTGCAGCTGTACGTGCACGTGTGAATCGTCGGTAATAGAGTGAGGGCACTCGCACGATTCTACGCTCGTCCATCGACCGACGTACGCGGCGCTAACGAGCGAGATCGACGCGCTGCAAACTATGCGCCGCTGTCGTCAGCGTCGTAATGTGGGGCATAACACAATGTACATTAGTACGCGCGACCGACCTCAGCGTAGGAATTCAGGCCTTAGAAGCTATGCTGGTGCTAACCCCGCTTCACCTACATATACAACAAGAAGTGACTTTAGCTGCCATCAGACTCAAGACCCTAAATCTATGAAATAAGAGTGGTCCCCCATACAGGTATAATTGACAGAATTTAATCCATAATTCCCATCTTACAGCCAAATATGATAAGATCCCTATATAATTTGTGTTTGATAAGAAATACAAGATACAATTAAATTAAACTAACTAGCCAGAGGGTTGAAACCTAAAAGAACTCAGAATTTTCACAGATGGTTCCAAAACAAATGACGGTATGGGATCTGGAATTTTCTTGGAAGACCTTAATATTCACATATGTACACCGCTGGGTTACCTATAAGTGTTTCAGGTAGAATACGAGGGCGGCACTGAAAATTTCGGGAATCAAGGAAGTGACACAACATTGCTATTTAAAAATGTATTTATTGCTTTTCGAAATATTCTCCGCGAAATTTGACACATTTTTCCATACGATGGAATCAATCATTGAAGCAACCATTCCATTCAGAAGTTGGGGTCTCCAAAATGGCCGTTTTGTAGGCGTCCACAGCTTCTTCAGGTGATGAAAATCTCTGTTCACGCAATTTATTCTTTATTTTAGGGAAAGTATAGAAATCATTAGGGCTTAGGTCGGGGCTGTACGGCGGATGGTCTAATAATTCTGTTTTCTTGCTCTAAGAACTCTTTTGTTCTGTGTGCGGTGTGAGAACTCGCATTGTCGTGATGGAGGATGATGCGGCGGTTGCAGTTCTCTTTACGGAGTTCAGAAACGACCTGTGGCAAACAAATGCTAGCATACCATTCTGCATTAACCAGACTTTTCAATTAAAAAGATTTTAATATGACAGGAACAGTGGAAATATTCCATTCCCGATACTTTTAGTGCAACCTATGTATATGGGTATCATTCAAGCGGCCATAGCAATAGATGCTAGGAAAGTAAAAGACTCCTCCATCAGAATACTGACTGACAGCATGGCAGTACTACAAGCTCTGAGTTGCAATGCGCTAAACTCGGGACTAATATATGAATGCCATCAACAACTAAACGAGATATGTAAACACAAACAATATGACTGTAATGGATAAAGGGACACAGTGGATTCAGGGGTAACGACGCAGCAGACGAACTGGCCAGGGGAGGATCGGCTCTGGCCATTATAAAGCCGGTACAAATCCCCTTTGGTAACATTTGTTAACTGGTTCGTAAAAACTTCACTAACCAACACACTCAGCTTTGGAAAGACTTAGTAGACTGTAGACTAGCTAGGGAGGTCATGCCTGAAATAAACAGTTGTTTAATCAAGGTAATAAACAAGTGCTATCACAGGACATGGCTCTTTTAACAAACATTTATTTACCATAGATGTTACAGATAGTCTCCCCTATGCAGGGCATGTATGGGTGAGGAAGAAACGGCGGCTCATGTGTTGCTGACATGTCCGGAGGCTAAACATCTCGGCACGCATGTACGCGGGATCATTTCCCCAAGTTGCTCGCAACATCAAAGGATTGTTGAACTTCTTCGGAGAGATTTCTTGACTCGAATAATTGCATTATTCCTGCCCAAACGCAAAATACGCGCTTAGACGTGGAGTTGCGGAAAACTGCTCGTCGTTATCATATCTTAAGTTGTCATTTACAGATAGTGGTATAGTAAAAAGAAACAAAGTACTTTTTTTAATGCAATGTCTGAGCTTTATGACTACAATAATTTTACAGGTAATTACCTAATAACTAAATATATTACACATATAACTTACTTGTCATTAGATATACTACAGTCTATCAATGCTTTGTCGCTTGTATTTACAACTATGAATGGTAAATGAATGGCTGACGACGGTGATGGTTTCACACCCTTTTTTTCTGTTTCTTTATTTCTTTCTATTAAACTTTTGAATGATATATGCTGAAAAATTAAACAAGCTTCTTAAAAAAAAAATTAAATCTTCAAATATATCATAAATCTATCAATAATTTTGTATAATTCCATAAAATTATGTCCTCATCATCATTATCTATATGATGGATATAAACTCTTGGCGACACAACCGAAGAGTGTAAAGGAAAGTGTTCGCTTCGCCTCAGTGTGTCTCGGCTTTATTTGCCCACTCTCGATCCCAAGTCGGTTTGCGTCCGAATCTAAGGATCCTGCGACGATTGCGAATACACGCTCTTGTACACTCTCACTGTAAATCCATCTCAGTCTCAAAATTTCACGGAATAATGAAAATGAGGTGAATTTCATAGAAATTTGTGAAATGGAATTTGGCTTATGAGATTCTCATATGGTATGTATTCTATGCATCGTAATCACCCATCATCTATTTACGTTTTTTTTTTATTTTAATTTTATGTATGTAAATATATCTAATAATTAATGGTACACTGAGTAACGGCAGCATTGACTTCCGTATATTCGTATCTCCTCGGACTTTACGATGATCACATTTGGGAACAAGCTTCTAGCGAAAGTGTACAACTGCCATTACAATGCATTATAGCTTGAAATATGAAAATAAAAAGCACCTGTAAAATAAGCTCTTGTAATTGTTGAGTTTTCTTCTGTATTTGTTCTAATTTTGTTTGCTTTTCTTTCTCTAGTGCTGTGCACTCCTGTATTGAGTTTGTTGGAAGGCCTAGCCATCTAATTTCTTTCTTTTCTTTCGATATTATATTCATTGCCATTAATACGTTTAGAGCGTCATATACTCTTCGACGAATATTTTTCTGGTCATATTGCTGAAAAAAAAATCATATTAAATTTTTACATTCTTTTATTTTCAACGACTCTAGTTTAAACAAATTACAGAAATCCTAATCAAAGTTATAAAAATATACACAGCGGAAAGAAAAAAATCAAATCTATTATTAAGTAAAAGTAATGAAAGGAAAGAATTTTGTAATAGTCTGATAGAAGAAGTATTGTTCAACACAACGAAAGAATATTGATTTCAATGCAAGGAATGATTGCTTGAGGTTACATCAATCCATTGCAGCCAATAAAAGTCCACTGCTTAACATAGGCCTCTCCCATAAATTATCTCATTGGGAGGATTTCGCCATAGTTAGCGGGGGCGGGTTAGCAACCACAGTTTTTAATTATGTTGTGAAAGATGCTGCTGCTCATCTTCTTCCCTCGGGGTAGTGGATATTCTTACATCGCCACTAAACGCTTATGAGGTTACATATTAAGATTATAATTGAGCAAAGTCATAGTTTCTAATTTTACAGATTTTATCATGTTTAATTTTAACTTAACTTTTAAGCTATTTGCACAAGAATTAGGATTTTAGATTAATTTTATGAATACTGACTTGGCTATCTGCAGAACCATGCATTCCAGCAGCAAACTCTAGTACTAACTCGTCAGCAACTTCGTTGTATGACGTGAAACCCTTATTTCTGACTTTCTCACAAACTTTCATGGAGAAGTGTCGCAATCCTTTACCCACTTTATCGGCGTGCTTACGTCTTTTTGTTGTGCTGTGAAGAAGATAAGACATATGGATGGAAAATAATGAATTTGCATATTTTAGGAACTTTCTATAATGAATATTGATGAGTGACAATTAAGCAACAGTCTACCAAAGGTAAGCTGTTACTTCAGTGCATATAATAAGTAAAAATTCTTGAAAACCGAAAGGGTATCTTGCTGCTGTTGTTTAATAATGTAACAAAAGAACATGATGAACACAAACTACATAAATGGGCAATAGAAAAACCACTTACTATTCTGCTGGTGGATCATTATCAGAATCATGTCTCCTTCTTGATGCATGTGACATTGTCGGAGATAAATCACTAGATTTTCTGAGTTTTTTAAAAGGAGTTTCAGGTTTTGGCAGAATAGGTACAAGCTTTGGCACCGACTGTACAATATGGTAATCTGATATTTGTTCCTGGACAGTTTCCTAGAAAACATATAAGAGAGAGCTTTTTAAAATAGTTTTGTAAATTTCATATTAATAGACAATTTAAAACTTATTTTATCATTATCATCGACGCCTTTTCTACAATGGGAGAGGGCCTATATACCAGCAATGGACTTTTATAGGCTGATGGAGCAGTGAAGATCATCTTCGCAGTCCATGGCTATTCTTCACGTGTGTGTACATCATTTTCAGAAAAATGGAGGAATTTGACGAATTATACCTCAACTCGGTCAGTGAATATCGGATATCAGCGACGGAGGGGAAGAAATATTTGCATCTAATGTTGTTGACGTGATATATCAATTTCGATATATTTAAAAATGTTGTATTAATCGACTAAATATTAAGCAACAAAAGCAGCTACAAAAGACTTTATGTGCTGTTATCGATTTTTTTTTCGTCGTCCAACCATCCCTATTAAAACTTTATAGTTCAGGGTTATTTAAAATAACACTTTTCCCCAAATCTAATCGCCTCTTACGAGACCCATGGGATAGTATGAATATTCATACATCACCACTATACGGTAATTGATAACTTTTCAAAACATTTTGTTTACCAACAACGTCTTGCAATCATCGTTTCTCTGGCGTTCATTTGACCATCATACAAATAATTCTATATTTAAATTGTTGATAATATTTCATTTTAGGATAAGAACATAGTAATAACTCTTAAGTTATATTTCATAGTCATTAAAAAAATATTGTCTTTGGCCTAACCTACTATATAAAGGTGTCCCCAGTAATGGTGGATAAAGTGGTACATACGTGTTCGGGCTAGGAGGAGGTGGCCTCGGTTCCCTAAAAAAAAATTCTATCCCGAACGGATCGCGCTCTACGTCATGATTTATAAAATTTGTGGACATCATGTCCGCAGTTTAATGCCTAGATCGAATTTGTTTCTTTTAATGTGTTCCCTAATAATGATGTTTCTAAATTACCCTTAAAAGTATTCAACTACTATGGGTAGTATTTTAAAAGACGGCACTAAACATAAGTTTGAATTTTTTACTTTATTTTATTGCTATGCTACGTTTTTTTTTCACCACAGGTGCTTTGAGCACCTGTGGTGAAAAAAAAAAAAACGTACGTGATCTGTATGGCCTACTATTTAAAAAAATTGCCTACATCATGAGGATTCTAAAACAGTAGCATAGCATGTACTTAATGTCATTATTTACAATAATTGTTTTCTAAAACCAGTGTGAAGTAGAGGTTTACCTCTGCGTTTCGCTTGGTGAGTGCAGGTGGCCGGAAGCCCTGTTTACTGGAAATGAGGCATTCCATCTTAGTCCTCACGGGTGACAAGGCATCTACATTTTGATTTTGTAATAGAGAATAGATGTAGATGTCGATGGGCCGCAGCAACCACTTACCATCAGGTGGACTGTGTACTTGTTTGTCAACCTTATCCTATAAAAAAAACTTACTGAGCTATAGCCGTTAATGTGTAAAAGTAGGCATTTCATTACAAAATTATTTGCAGATAGTTTTATTAACATTGCATGTATTTATTAGGTAAGTACATCTGTCACCCTTGAAAACTTTATTTTACTACCTGCTCGCCTTGTTTGGATGAATTCTAAGCTATGTGAGCAAGAGTTTCGAACTGTTTCAAGCAAAAATAAACCTTATACCATATCACAAGAGCACATGGTACTTCGTAGATCTATTCGGCCATATGATAGTAATAAGACGGCAATTCAACCATTTTAAGCAAAATTAAACAATAAGACAAACGCATTGTTTTTAACAGGAGACTTGTTTTCTAGAAATTTATTTACAACTTGAGTTTGTTAGCGATCGCAATGAGTGCTATTATTTGTTACTTATTAGACAATTTTTCCATAACATGATTTAAAACCCACAAAGTAAAAATAGTACCATATACACGTTAAAAAAAGGTTGTCAACCCCTAAAAAATTCAAATTCTCAAAATATCCAGAAACGAAGCTGCATGCATGAACTACTCGCAAAATAATGAATATTTTGTTCTGGATAAATTTTCCAAAAAAGCAATTTGAGCGAGTTATAACGATTTTTAAAAGACACGACTCGCGTGTCATACGCCACACAAAAGTAATCGACGACACGCCTGGCGTGTCACCCGCACAGAACCGGTTAAGGATACGTAAATTAATGAAAATAAAATGAGTTATATTCATTTTTTATTTAAAATCAATTACAGAAAATGCTCGCACTGGCTTCCTCCTGCCCTTATGCAGGCTCTAAATCTTTTTACAAACGATCTTTCTAAAAGTCTTTGATAATTTTTGGTTGAAATAACTCTTGCTGCGTCTGTGAAGCGAAGTCTAAGTTCGTCGATTGTTTCAATTGTTTTTTTATAAACTTGTTCCTTCAGGGAGCCCCAATAAAGAAATCTAATGGGTTAAGATCACGTCATCTAGGTGGCCACAATAACGGCCCCATTCGGCCGATCCATCGGTCACGGTGGGCTTTGTTTAAGTAACTCCTTACTTGGACGGCGTAATGTGCCGGACAACCATCATTTTGGAGCCACTTTCTACGCCGAATGGCTAGTGGCTCATCTTCTAATAAATAGGGTAATTTTGCAGAAATTCTAAATAATTGGCCCCATTCAGGTTACCCGTCAATTCATAGGGGCCTATAATTCTTCCGTTTAGTATTTTATACGTAGTAGAGCCATGCTGCAGCTATATCAGTAGTATAGTTGTAGCACGAATGGATCGGCTCGACCGGAGAAGGACCACGCTCTCACAGAATACCAGCGTTAAATAGCAGCTTAACGCTGCTGTTTTGTATGGTGAGAGTAGAGAACCAGAGACCCTTTTTACTGGAAAAGAGGCATTCCATCTTAGTCCTCACGCGTGACAACGCATTTGCATTTTGATTCTTTATTGAGGATAGATGTAGATGTCTATGTGCCACAGCAACCATCAGGTGGACTGTGTGCTCGTTTGTCCACCCTATCCTATAAAAAAATTACGACCTATCTACTCTCATCAAATATGGGTTTGTTCGCTGCCAACTGTGCAGATTATGCAAGTTAAGGTACCCGTCCCTATTACACATTGACTCGTGGCTCCACAAAATTTTTCAAAAAAACCCAGGATCTTCATCCATTCGCCCCAGCATTTCTCTGCAAAAAGTAACTCGTGCTGGGTAGTCACGTTGTTGAAGCGTTTAACGTGATAAGGGTGAAGTCTCTCCATTTTTTTGAGAATCCGATGTGCTATAGAGTGCAATACTCCAGTGCGTCGTTCGATATCTCGCATCGAAATGGACGGAATTTTTTCAACCATATCATGGACAATTTCTTCAATGTCAGGTATCGTCCTCTGCTACTGGCACTATCAATACCTGCACCAGGCATTCTCTCCTCTGAATAAATGCCGTGCACTCTAATAAACACGCTACATTTACCATAGATGAAATGCATGATAGCATACTTTTGGGGTGTCGTCCGTAGTCCAACCGTCAGTAAAGAAAATTTTTGACCTTATCTTTATTATCATGCAAATGTTGACGATATATCGATATTTATCACGCGATATATATCGATACTGTTTAAAAATATAGATTCGATATATATCGATATTTATTTCCCTTGCCCATCCCTACCAGTAGAATGCCAAGTTGTCACAATTATCACCAAACAAACAAAATCCAATTAAAATGCACAAATCATGAGTCCAGTAGAATGCAGAGTTGTCACAATTATCACCAAACAAACAAAATCCAATCAAAATGCACAAGTCAAGAGTGCAGTAGAATGCGAAATAGTATTTTGTAGCCAAGAGTCCGAAATAATAGAGCACATGCGATATCGAGAAGGTCGAGATACGCACTAACCATATTTAACAATAACCAAACACGAATTGTAATTGAAATGGAGAATCTGTCGATCCTTTTTACTCACATTAATCCTAAGCACCATTTGTCTCGCTCACACAGCTTAGAATTCGTCCAAACAAGGCAAGCAGGTAGTAAAGTAAAATTTTTAAGGGCGACAGTTGTACCAGGTGGCCCATAAGTCGTTAGAAATGTAAATTTCGAATAAAATACAAAAGGCGCGCATGAGTGGCGCGCGCGGTGCGGGGGGAGTACCGACGGTTTCTGGGAATTCAGTCGCCATGGAGCGTTTCACCGGTGCGGACCGTGCATTTTGTGTGCGCGAGTTTTATCGAAACAATGATTCGGCTACCATTGCGCGGCGTAAATTTCGAGAATATCAGAATTTACGCAACTTTAAAGACATTCCAAGTGTTCAAACGATTATGAACTGGGTTATTAAGTTCGAAGAGAGTGGTTCGACGTTGGATAAACAACGGTCAGGTCGACCAAGGACATCACGGACGGAAGAAAACATCGATGTAGTGAAACACTCAATTCGTGAAAATCCTACCCAGTCTACTCGTAAGCGTTCCAGTGCATTAAACTTACCCAGAACATCGTTACAGCGAATTTTAAAGAAAGATTTACATCTTCACCCGTACAAGATTCAGTTAGTACAGGAATTAAAAGATACTGACACTATCCACAGACTAAATTTCGCAAATGAAATGTTGAACCGCTTTACTTCGTTTAATAACGTGTTATTCTCTGATGAGGCTCACTTTCACATCAACGGCCATGTCAATAAGCAAAATTGTCGCTACTGGAGTTGCGAAAATCCAAATCGCAAACATCAAAAGCCCTTACATAGCCCTAAAGTGACAGTTTGGGCGGCTATGTCAGCGCATGGCATTATAGGCCCTTACTTTTTTGAGGACGGCAGAGGCCGCGCGCTTACTGTTACTTCACAACGGTATGTAGCTATGATCCAGGACTTTTTTACACCAGAGTTGCAGAATTTTCCAGGCTTCAATACGCGGACCTGGTTTCAACAAGATGGAGCAACTGCCCATACCTCTAACGTCGCTATGCCGGTCGTCCGTCAACTTTTCCCTAATAAAGTGATCTCTCGAAGAGGAGATATTCCTTGGCCACCACGTAGTCCAGATCTGACCCCAATGGACTTTTTCTTATGGGGTTATCTTAAGACTAAAGTGTACGAAACCAACCCGCGGACAATTGACGTCCTGAAAGAAAATATCCAAAGAGAAATGGCAAACATTACAGAGCTTACTTGCCACGCAGTGATGGATAATTTTAAACGTCGCTTACAGGAGTGCCGCGATCGTAACGGATTACATTTAGATGATGTAATTTTCAAAAAATAATTCCCATTTTATAAGGATTATGACAAAATAAAAACCTTTTTCATAATGTCATTAGTTTTTTTTTAATTATTTTTTTACATTTCAAGGGACTTATGGGCCAGCCTGTACTTACTTAATAAATATATGCAATGTTAAAAAACTATCTGCCAATAATTTTGTAATGAAATGCCTACTTTAACAAATTAACGGCTATAGCTCAGTAAGTAATGTCATTAAGTACATGGTATGCTACTGTTTTAGAATCCTCATGATGTAGGAAAACTTTTTAAGTGGTTGGCCACACAGTTCCCATACGTTTTCTTTTCACCACAGGTGCTCAAACTTAGCAGTTAAATAAAGTAAGAAATTAAAACATATGTTTAGTGCCGTCTTGTAAAATACTACCCATAGTAGTGAAAACTTTTAAGGGTAATTTAGAACCATCATTATTAGGGAATACATTAAAAGAAAAAAATCCGATCTAGGCATTAAATTGCGGACGTAATGTCCACAAATGTGAGCATAAGTACGAATTTTCGGAATTTTATAAAACATGGCATAGAGCGCGAACTGTTCGGGGTAGAATTTTTTTAAGGGAACCGAGGCCACCTCCTCCTCACCCGAACACGTACGTACCAGATTATCCACCATTACTGGGACAGCCCTGTATATTCTTTGACTTGACCTTAGGTCTGATAAAGTTGGTCCAATAAAATGACGACGCCTGAATGGTTAAACTCCGAGACGTCATACGTAGACATAGGACCGTAGACTAGTGTAACGGCATGATGTATTAAGCAGTCTTTTAATAAATCGCCCTTCTCTTTTGCACACGCGATGATACCATAACGGCATCCTTTTTTCACCTAACACAATAACAATTTGCTATTTATAAGCGTCTCCCACACAGAAGCGGCTTACGGTGGCGGCCAGTTGTATTCGCTTGCAATGTAAGTGAGTCTGCAAACCCGTGTGGCCATGTCGCGATCTGCGAGCGGCTGGCCGCGGCCGCATGCTCCGCCCCTTCAGCCAACGCGCGTGTGTTAGCGAATACGTGGTCAGTCTGTGGCCGCAGCGCAGTCACTTGCAAATTTTACAACAGGCCGCGTGTACCACGTGAAAATGGTGAGATTTTAATTGTAAATTCGGAGATTTTAATTGAAACAGAACAAAATTATCCAGTACTTTATGGTAATTCACATCGTGATTACAAAAGCATTAGAATTAATAACAAAATATACGATAATATTGCTGAATATAATAAGACTTCATCACGGTTAGCCATGTTACTGACGTCTAATCGTAGCACAGACACCACACGAATGGCGCTTTAGGCCGCCGTTCCGACAGCGGTGGTGTGTTGTTGCAGCGGCTGGAGCCGCGGCTCGCGGTTAGCCACCACCGCAAGGCGCTTGTGTGTGAGAGACGCTTTACGCTGTCCACATTTAGAGTTCTAATTTGTTTGCGCAATTATGTCATTTCAACGAACATAATATGAACTAATATTATCCGACCACGTTCTCGTGTCGGTCGTCGCGTTGCTAGTCGAAATAAACGTTATGGAGTTTCAATTTAGCCATCTACGGATTCGACTAGTCCATTTGATTGTTCGTAAATCGTCTACTCGTTCACAGTACGTCGACGGTCGAATTAACTAGTTCGTTCATTCTAGTCCCATCGCTAAACTAGGTCAACATTTTATCTAGTGAGGGTTGATCTAAACTGAGCTTGCTAGCTAGGATTTTTGAGCTGTTACCACATACTGATCGAGGTTACAAAGTTACAGATTTTATGGTACAGAAAAACTTCTTGCATATCCACACCATAGTGGAGCGATATTTTAATAATATGGAATTAAATCCACCATTTAGACATGCGCGCTGAGCAAGAATTCGGCGGCGGCGGCGCGCCGACCCATTGTGGTCGGCGTGGCGACGCCGCGCCGGCGCGGCCGTATTTTATTATAATTTTTATAAACATTTCTTTAAAATAAGGTAGTAACAAGTGAAACATAGACCTGGATAGGAATTCAAATTTAATTTCTCAAAATAAAAACAAACCAAACAAGTTCTAATTAATTATACCTTATAATTTGTGCAAAAACGAAAAAGCACATTTTTTTGTTTCTTGCACAAACTATAGGAAATTAAAATTGTGTTTTTTACACAATGTATAATTATCATGAATAAAAATAATTTTATTAACGTGTACTGGGCTTAGTCTAGATCTTTTAGCAGTCACAGTTAGTCCCACTATAGAAAAAACGCGCTCACTAGGCGTCCTAGTAGCAAATGTTCTGATCACAGAGTAGTTTTTATATACATACTGAAAGTTCTGATACGCGCTCCAGAGACTGTAAAAATTTAATTTGTTCTATTTCCGCCGCTCGCTTCAATTCCGGTAAGCGATACCGAACGATTTTTACGATCTTTTTACATTTTTTTATTGATTTTTGAATTCTTAAATAATTGCATGGTTTTATTGACCCCGCGCCCGCGCGCCCATCACGCGTTGGTTCACGGCGCGCCGATCGGATTTGTCGGCGCGGCGCGGCGTGGGCAGGGCGCGGCGTGGCGCGGCGGCGCCGACGCGGCGCGCATATCTACCACCATTCCATCTCTCATTCTGTATATGTCATAAAATCCAACGCAGGATTAAGTAGCACAATAGTACAAATACCTGTGACTTAACTTCTTGTTCTACTTTGGGTTCTACTTTTTGTAATTGAGTTAATGCTTCAACAGGCACTTGCACCAATTCTGGAAAAAAAATTACGTTAAGAGACAAATTTCTAAAATTCACATAGTATTTAACATATTTCATTAAATTATTTGGAATGTTTTATAAAAATTGCAACATAATACACATAATCTGGTTACTACAACATTGTCAGTTTACTTGTTTCATAAATTTACGCAAATACTACACTTCAAAAAAGAAATAACTTCACCTTTACGGATTTTCTTACTACGGTCTAGACAGCCAAAGCCAAACTTTTTTTTTTATATTTTCCGATGCTGACCTGAGTATTTTATATCGTAATGTCGGGAATAAAGGTAAAAATAAATAAAAGTAAATACGAACAAATGAATGTAGAATGTTAATCTACCACTTGTTTTAGCAGTATAAAGGCTTCCCAAGAAATTATGCAATTGGATAACCAGTTTTCTGGCTGATCGAAGCATCAAGGTCGTAGTATTAACCTAAGAAGCCTATTAACGCTGGTGTTCCACAAGGCTGCGTGCTATCACCAAGGTTGTTTCTTCTGCATATCAATGATATGTTGCAAAGCAGTAACATTCATTGCTATGCGGATGACAAAAGTTAGCGCGTTTACCGCTTAAAAGAACCCCTTTGTCATATCTCCTCAGTTTCGAGGCACTCCCCATGTTGCTTCAGCCAGTATCAGAATCCTCGACGTCGACATATCGAGTGGCATGCAGTTTCGTGGTCACTTGGAAGAGAAGGCCAAACTGGCTTCTAAAAAGCTTGACGTGCTCATCAGAGCGGGGCAGTATTTTATGCCGGCACACCGCCTGCAACTTTACAAGTCGCAGGTTCGGCCTCACACGGAATACTGTTCTCATCTCTAGGCTGGGGCTCCCCAATGCCAGCTTCTTCCACTGGACGTATCCAGCGCAGAGCGGCTCGAATCGTCGACGACCGAGTCCTTCCGATCCGCTCGATTCACCGGCGTTGCGAAGAGATGTTGCATCACTTTGCGTATTTTATCGCATCTACCACGGGGAGGGCTCTGAGGAATTGTTCGGATTAATTCCAGCCGCTCAATTTCACCATCGCACATCGAGACAAAACTCGCGATACCATCCATATCATCTGGATGATTGGCGCTCCACCACTGTGCGATTTAGAAAAAGTTTTCTTTTTCGCACAACTTCCTTGTGGAATCGATTACCACCAGCGATTTTTCCGGACCGATACCACTTAGGACCCTCTAAGAAAAGAGCATACTCCTTTCTAAAAGGCCAGTAAACGCACCTGTAATTCCTCTGGTGTCGCGGTTGTTCATGGGCGGCGGTAGTCACTTACCATCAGGTGAGCCGCATGGTCGTTTGTCCCCTCTCCTATATAAAAAAAAAACTAATAGTGCCCGATGACAATATTTGCTGCAGTTTGCGGTCAGTATGATTCCTAATACGGCTGCAGCGATATGTCGTCCTCGGTGGCGAAGTATCGAATCAGTTGCGAGATAATAATTGTATCAAGACTGATTTTTGGCCCGACCCGGGATTTGAACTCAGGAGTACATAATAATCATAGCGGTAACTATTAGCAGTCGCATTTACGGCCGATAGACCAACGAGCCTGTTAATATACTAAGAGGTTTAACAGTAATACCGCTGTATCCACTGTATGTATAAGTAATGCGAACTGCTATTACGCCTTGGAACACTGCGAGTAGTGAACACGCCATAACCCACAACTCATTTGAACAAGTCATAACACATATGATTACACATCTGAAGCTTTCTTTTTTGAAGTTGGTTGCAGGTGTCCAGGGACTGCATTTGCCACTTAACATCAGGTGAACTATACACCGAATAATAGTAAGATATATATCAACAGATAATGTGCTTAATAATGGTGTAAATGGATGTTACAAAATTTAGGTATAATGTACTTGTAATGCATATTTTGTAATAAAAATTTACTTACTTGATGCACATTTAATACCAGTTACTTTAATTGGGCGAAAGACTGGTGCCTGAAAGGAAAAACCAATCTATGTTTACTTAATGTGTCCGAAGAATGTAATAGAAGCTTATTACAATTATTAAATATATTAATCAACATGAAAAATATGAAATATTATCTATAACTCATGAGTAACCACCCCACAAAGACAAAGTTTCATACAACTGCGCTACAATAGGTATGTTACTAGAAAGAGTATCTCTGGGTGGCATCACGTGTTAAATATTGTCTGATTCTTATTAAAAGTCATTTGATACTTTTACCACTGATTCGAAAATACCTCTGTCCAGGGAAGAACTACATAGAAAGAAACCCAGCGGATTTTTTTTTAATGTAAAGTTATCCAAGAAACAAAAAACAGTTAGTAAAAACTACCTACAAAACTTATTTGTGAAACAACTTGGAAGTGACCACTTCATTCCTAGAGATTAAATATTAACCATATATTAATTTATATTATAATAACCCCTTTTATAAAGTTTTAGAAATGTTTAAACTTGGTAATAGAGAGAGAGAGAGAGAGAGAGAGAGAGAGAGAGAGAGAGAGAGAGAGAGAGAGAGAGAGAGAGAGAGAGAGAGAGAGAGAGAGAGAGAGAGAGAGAGGAGAGAGAGAGAGAGAGAGATATCTCTCTGGCACTTTGTTGTAATAACGTTGCACAGTATATGGTCACTTTTTTTAGAGTTTGTCTCCCTACCACTTATGCGTGGCTTTAAAAGGAACAATAAATTATTGAAAACAAACAATGAAAAAGGTGTCAGCATAATGGGTGCCGTGTTTGTTGATCGCCGAAGAAAAACTCAACCGGGTTGAAATCACAAGGGAGAATCTGGGGTTGCTTCGAATACTAGCGACTTTTTAAGAAGATTCATTTTTTCATTCATTATTCATTACAGCCCTTCACAAGTCCACTGATGAACATAGGCCTCCCCCAAAGAATGCCACAAAGCACGGTCCTGAGCCACCTGCATCCATCGACTTCCCGCATGTCTTACCAGGTCGTCACTCAATCTCGTGGGGGGACGCCCTACACTTCGCTTACCGGTACGTGGCTGCCACTCGAGAACCTTTTTTCCCCATCGGTTGTCGGTTCTTCGAGCTATATGGCCGGCCCACTGCCACTTCAGCTTACTAATCCGTTGGGCTATGTCGGTTATTCTGGTTCTACTGCGGATATCATCATTCCTAAGTTTATCACGCAGAGAAACTCCGAGCATAGCCCTCTCCATAGCTCGCTGAGCGACCTTGAGCTTCCTCATACGGCCAGCAGTGAAGGACTACGTCTCAGTTCCGTAAGTCATCACTGGCAACACGCACTGGTTGTACAATTTCGTTTTAAGGTTTTGAGGTATGTCTGACGAGAAGATGTGTCGTAGCTTCCCGAACGCTGCCCAGCCGAGTTGAATCCGTCGATTGACCTCTCGGTCGAAGTTGGACTTACCTAGTCGGACTATTTGTCCCAGGTAAACATACTCGTCAACAACTTCGAGCTTAGTGCTCCCAACAACTACCGGCATAGGTGTGACATGGACATTAAACATGATCTTTGTTTTGTCCATGTTCATCTTAAGACCTATCCGTTGGGAAACACTATTGAGGTCATTGCTCCAGCGATTCTGCCATAAGGACTATATCGTCGGCAAATCGAAGGTGAGTGATGTACTCTCCATTGATGTTGATACCGTATCCTTTCCAGTCCAGAAGCTTGAAAACGTCTTCCAATGCAGCGGTGAAGAGTTTCGGGGATATGACGTTACCCTGTCTTACACCTCACAGCAATTGGATAGGTTTCGTACTCTGGTTCTGTACTCGGATAGCCATCGTAGCCCTACTGTACAAGCACTTCAACACTTCGATATACCGACAGTCAACTTGGCACCGCTGAAGGGACTGCAGCACCGCCCAAATTTCGACGGAATCAAAGGCTTTCTCATAGTCCACATACGCCAGACATAGTGTCAAATTGTACTCTTCGGACTTCTGTACAACTTGCCGAAGGGTATGTATGTGGTCTATGGTGCTAAAGCCCTTTCGGAAACCGGCTTGTTCGGGAGGCTGGAAGTCGTCAAGTCTGCGCGCGAGACGATTCGTAATGATTCTCGAAAACAGCACGTAGACGCGGCTCAGAAGGGAAATCGGTCTGTAGTTCTTCAAGAGAGTGTTGTCACCTTCCTTGAAGAACAAGACCACCGCACTTCTGCTCCACGCCTCCGGTGTAATGCCACCATGGAGGACGGAATTAAAGAGCTTCTGAAGGACTTCAAGTACCGGTCTTCCACCCGCTTTCAGAAGCTCCGCTGTAATTCCATCCCCGCCTGGGGCCTTACCGTTTTTAAGGTGCTGGAGAGCCATTCTAATCTCGCTCAGACTGACGTCCGGGATATCTTCGGAATAGTGTCGGATGAGACTCGCTCTTGGATCGTTACTCACACTTGCGTGTGGCCCCAACGATGACGTGTACAGCTGCCCATAGAACCTCTCAATCTCACTCAAAATATCAGTTCCCGGAAACGATGCTGCCACATTCCGTCTTCAGCTTTGATAGTTGGCTCTTTCTGGCAGACAGATCTCTGGCAAAGACTTTGGAGCCTTGGTTCCGCTCGATCGCTTCTTCAATACGAGCTGTATTGAAGTTGCGTAAGTCCCGCCGCATGCATTTGGAGATCTGTCTGTTCAGATGCCTGTATGCTGTCAAGTCTGTTGAAGAATGTAGCTTCATCTCCCGTCTAACAGCCATGAGATTAAGAGTGTGATCGGAGAGTTTTTGTGTTTTTCTGCGGCGGGTCTTGCAGAACTTAGCTCCGACCGCATGGACAGTTTCCAGGAGCTTGTCATTCATATGTCCACTTCATTGCAGTCTTCTAGGCACTGAAAACGGTTTTGTAATTCGAGCTGAAAGGTTTCGGGACTTTGGAACAGAGCACGAGGGGGATGGAGCGTTGACTTCATTAGACGAGACCTCTCCAACTTAACGTTTAGGTTCAGTGTGCCTCTAACCATTCGGTGATCGCTACCAGTTTTCACCCTCGCGATCACGGAGACATCACTGAACAGTTGTCGTCTGGTCGTCATAATGAAGTCAATCTCATTTTTTGTTGAACCGTCGGGGCTCGACCAGGTCCACTTCCTGTGGGGCCGCTTCTGGAAGAAAGAGTTCATCATAAAGAGTCCCCCTTTCTCCATGAAGTCGGCCAGCTGCTGGCCCCTTGGGTTCCGTTGCCCTATTCCAAATTTCCCTACTTTCAGCTCACCGTTCTCTCTTGTGCCTAGTTTTGCATTGAAGTCTCCCATTAACACCGTATTTTAGAAGATTCATTACCACCGATGAAACTATATTGCACGATATTCATTTGAAATTTCTTTTAAAAATGAAATATACTCTTTTATTGGAAAATAAACCCCTTAATTCCCCCCTGTATTTACTGGTGAACACATAGAAAGAATTCAATTGATATTTCTTTAATTACATTCGAATGAAACTGCTTTTTCCCTTATGATACTGCTTTTTACCTTATGGTATTTCCATACCTACAATTGTAGATTTTGAGGAAACTTCGCGATTTTTTTGTATCGAGCCAAAATATGTCAATCTTGTTTTAGCCATCATAATTCACTAAGAGAAATCTTTTTTTTTTTATATAGAAGAGAAATCATACCAGCATGCGGCTCACCTGATGGTAAGTGACTACCGCCGCCCATGAACAAACGCAACGCCAGGGGAATTGCAGATGCGTTGCCGACCTTTTAGAAAGGTGTAAGCTCTTTTCTTGAAGGTTCCTAAGTCGTATCGGTCTGGAAAAGTCTCTGGTGGTAATCGATTCCACAAGGAAGTTGTGCGAGGGAGAAAACTTCTAAATCGCACAGTGGTGGACCGCCAATCATCCAGATGGTATGGATTTTGTCGCGATGTGTGATGGTGAAATCGAGCGGCTGGAATTAGTCCGAATAATTCCTCAGAGCACTCCCCATGATAGATGCGATAAATTACGCAAAGAGATGCAACATCTCTACGCAGTGCCAATGTATAGAGCCGATCAGAAAGAACTCGATCGTCGACGATTCGAATCGCTCTGCGCTGGATGCGGTCAAGTGGAAGGAGCTGGCACTGGGGTGCCCCAGCCCAGAGATGAGAACAGTATTCCATGTGAGGCCGAACTTGCGCTTTGTAAAGTTGCAAGCGATGTGCCGGCATGAAATACTGTTTCGCTCTGCTGAGCACGCCAAGCTTTTTACTGACATCCAGGGAGAAGAATGCTTTGCGAACCGAGCGCTGTGTAAACCGCACATCCGGCATGGAGCACTCACATCGCGGGATAGTCGGCGGTGTGTTCCCCCCGTCATCTAGAGTCGAGTTGGAAGCAAAGAGAGAGCTCAACATCGGCTTACTCTTTTGCGGCATGGGCCAGTGAGTCATCCTCTCTGTGCAGAGATGGAAAAGATGGCTGACAGAAGTTCCCTTGGACAGCTTTGGCGAGAGACCAGAATGCACGGATCCCCGAAGGAGGGCGAACTAGCTTCTCGCCAATTTTGCCGATGTGCTCAGACCTTGCCTGGGCAATGACGCTTTTGAAGGACCTGGAGGCGGAATTATACTATTTATATTATTTTTTTAAGAGCGCTGGTGTTTACTACCGGAGACGTTGATGCACCGGTAGCACTCCTGCTTATATCGTGAATCTATTTTACAGGAGCGACCAAACCATGGCTGGGATCTGCCTCCGATGGGCAGCTCTGCTTGCGATTGGAGCATGAGTGGCACCGTACTCCTTCGGACCATTGTCTGATCCATCGACGGAGACCTGATATCCGTCCGGATGAGAGGTCCAGCAGAAGGTCCAACAGGGAAGGTACATGGTCCTCCACATCTGGGATCCGCGTAGGCGAAGTAACCAGTTGTGTTAGACCATATGCCAAGGCAAAGTCATAGACAGATCTACCCGCATGATCGGTTAAACGAGAACCAAGCCATTCAGCGTGGTGGGCGTTAAAATCACCGAGTATCACGATCTCTGCGGATGGGACCTGTTGTAGCACGGAGTCTGCAGCCATTTGGACTTGGTCGATGAGTAGGTCTGTGTCGGCATTACCGCTATGGGACCTATAGAGGCACCCATAGATGCGCGGATGGTCGTCGCTGTCTACGCGTAACCAAAGGATGGACAGGTCCGAACCTTCAAGACTGCCGAGGCGTCGAGAACAGATGTCCTCTCTGACATACACGCAAACTCCAGCCCGAGGCACAAAGGAATGCTCCAATTTGTACCCCGGGTAGGAGAGACGAAATATCAGCCGGAGAGGAAACCTGCGTCTCGGTCAGAAAAAGCAAGGCCGGCTTCGCCGTCTCGAGATGGTAGTGGACGGCGTTTAGGTTAGAGTGAAGTCCCCTGATGTTGCAAAAGGGGTCGCCTTGGTTTTGTTGCTCCACTTGCCCTAAGAAGTATTAGTCGCGAGCGGAATTTTGCCCCCCCCCCCCCCACAGAATACGCAGGGAAGCCTGAGCACCCACGCTCAGGGGTGAAGTAGTTTGGTCGTGGATGCTTAGCGAGGGATTCTCCAGGGGTGTTGGTACCCTCCTGGGGTAGTCTTTTATTTAATTCCGCTACCATGTTTGGGCCTCCGGCCGCCTGCACTCACCAAGCGCAAACCTCTACTTCACGCTGGTATTCTGTGAGGTCGTGATACCACCCCGGTTCGAGCCCGCCCATCCGTGCGACAGCAAAAGCTGCCGCGTGGCTCTACCACGGTTAAAAATCTTTAACTTTCATAATGATTTCGTAGTTTTTAATGCCATAAAAAATAAATTTTCTGCACACCCATAAAGCGTCAAAAATGTGCTTTTGCCGCACATTCCCCTTTAATACCATCGGACTACTTCCTGTTCCGTAAATTGAAAAAAACACCTGGCTGGAAGAAAGACAAGAAATCTTTCTCATAGCTGAGGCGAAGTGGTGAAATATACACATAATAGCAGTGTAATATAACAATGAATTAATGTCTGTTTAGCAAAATACATATATGAGATGGATGTTTCCCATATGAAGTGTTGTCTTTAATAAATGCTTATGTACCAACTTTTTAAAAGCAAACTTATTGGGAGCTTTTCTGATGTCATCCGGCAAGGAGTTCCAAAGATGTGTAGCCTGGACTATAAAGGAGTTACCATAGAACTTGGTGAAGTGAAGAGGAATACAGATTTTGTGTTAGAAGAAGAATGTAGAATGTAAAATCATGAGATGAAGAGAAATTGTGATATTTAGTCTTAAAATAAGAATGCGAAAATGGGTCATTTAATATGGAAAAAAGAACAAGTAATATTCTGGAATTGCACTTCTGCCGTATCATAAGCCAATTAAGCTTAGATCTATATTTCGAAATATGGTCATACTTACGAAGCCCAAAAATAAATATTATCGTTATTAAATTAGGTATTAAAGAGAAGATGCTTGTTCAGAAGATTTTGTATTGCCATATGTACTTATCTAAAAACTTTTTTCTAAGTATGTAACAAAATATCTTTGAGGTTAGCTAATTTTCCAAATTTTTATTGGTATTTTAAGGGTACAAGTCTTTTGTGGCTCCATATAAATGCAACCAGACCAATTAATACTTGAAGATAATTTTTATATTTTATTTAAATATTCCAGTTATGTCTTATACATAATATGCCAGGGTAACTCCAGGGTGCGTTAAGCGCTCTCTTATTAAATGTTTTGTATGTACAGCTATGAGAAGACCCTTTAACTGGTAATGGGGCATTATATCTAAGTCTCCAGGAATACCAACAAATCTGCATTTTGGTTTTTAATCCATGATAGATATGACACTATGGGCCACTGCATCCACTTATACAAAATATATGCACAAAGTAGGTAAGTGATATTATGCTATAAAAAGACAAGAGTAAACAGATGAAGATAATGAGAAATATATTTTGAGATCTTGTGAATCTTCTATAAAAAGCACATTTTATTTATGGACTTTTTTATGAACCACCAGTTTCAAGGCAAATCAATAATTAATTATTTTGAAATATCTGTTGTTTTTGACAATTACTGTTGCATGTCATGTTATATTTATTTAGAAATTGTGAAATAATATAACAAAAATAAATAAATAATCAAGTATATTAATAATGAAAGACCTAATACCCAATGAAATTATCATGCTTTTAAATGGAAATTTATATTTTGCATAAAATGACAACAATCGGTCATGTGCATAAATCCAAAATAAGTGTTCTGTATGCTATCAGCATAAATTATAAGATAAGCAATTTTTTCGGAAAATGTTATACTAAAATGATCATAAAACAAATTTTTTCAACAACTCCCAAAGCTATATTCTTTTCCACAGCTGTAATTTAGGTACCCATATTTTGTAACTAAATCAAATTTTTGATAAAATTTTAAATAATATATGTGAAATTCTTGCTCTATTCTTGTGTAAACAAGAAAAGAGCCTATTCCTTTTTAAAAGGCCGGCAACGCATCTGCAATTCCCCTGGTGTTGCAGTTGTTCGTGGGCGGCGGTAATCACTTACCATCAGGTGAGCCGCATCATTTGCCCCCTATACTATAAAAAAAAAAGTGAAACAATCTCAGAGAAAAAATTAAGTTTCAGTTCAGGTGATTCAAGTAGAGCTTTTTTGCTAAATTTGACATAGAACACTAAAAAGCTACATTTTAATAAATATTAACCGTAAAGAAATAACAGAACTTCCTAGAACAGATTAGTAAGCTAAAGTGACATTGAGTTTGCAATATAGCTTCAAAAAGCAAAAACTGCTGGGCAATAAGACATAGCATACATTTTAAGAGGATGCCACACAGGACACTATATTTAATTTATTTAATCAAGTATTGCCACATTATACATAATAGACAATTTCAAAGATATACAATACACATCTGCTATGCATAAAAATAATGGAATACATAGCACTTATGAAAATAAAGTAGACACATAAAACATAAAATCAATATATCTAAGATAATATGGTAAATTTAGAAATGAGGCATTCCATCTTAGTTCTCAGGGGTGACTACATATCTGCATTTTAATTCATAATCGAGAATAGTTGTAGATGTCTATGAATCACAGCATCCACTTACTATCAGAAGGACTGTATTTTTTTTTTATAGGATAAGGGTGACAAACGAGCACACAGTCCACCTGATGGTAAGTCATTGTTGTGGCCCATAGACATCTACATCTATCCTCTATTACAAATCAAAATGCAGATTCGTTGTCACCCGTGAGGACTATGATGGAATGCCTCATTTCCAGTAAAAAGAGTCTCCGGTTCTCTACACTCACCATACTAAACACAGCAGCGTTAAGCTGCTATTTTACACTGGTATTCTGTGAGAGCGTGGTCCTTCCCCAGTCAAGCCGACCCATTCGTGCTACAACTATACTACTAATATAGCTGCAGCATAGCTCTACCACGTAAAGACTGTATGCTCCTTTGTCACCCATATTCTATGTAAAAAAAGATTATAAGTTATAGTAATATTGAACAATATTCCTCTTAAAACCATGAAAGGGATAGACAAGATATCCAGACTGGACAATATTTTGTGTGTACACAAAACACAAATATACTTACAAAAACATGTGTTTGTCATGCAGCCTGAAAGCCTGACCCAGCTGTATACTATCTGTTTTTAAATTTGCTTTCGAATATTTTTTTTTATATTCAAGTCTCACCCTAATGCACCCACATCTTGGTATTTATAATTCATAAAATTTGTTTTAGTATAATTTTTTTTTTATTTAAATTCTCTCATTCGCAGATAATCTAATCAAGACTGGGTAAATAATGTAACAAAATAATAACTTTCAAAGTATCTCTTTGAATCAATTTTAAAAAACATGTGTACTGTTAAAGCTATAATAATGTAAGTCTTACCAATTATTGCTAAGTTCCTTTTGAATTTCTCTAACTCCTAATAATACTTTTTAAATAGCTATTAACTTATATCTGTTTAAAAATTTGTGTAACTATATTTAACATAATGATTGTAAAGTATAAACAATTATGTAAACATGAGGTACCAGGATTCATATAAAATAGACAAGATTGAAGGACAGAACAATAATTAAGACATTACAATTATTTTCAAATCTTAGTAGAAAACATCTAATAATACCTTGCTAGATCTAACTTTTCGATAACGCTTATGACAAATTACTGCAGCCCACGGACAGTTGCAATAAAGTGAGGAACTCAGCTACTGATTCTTATCACCACAAAAGGCTCCCCTTATCTTTCAAACTAGAACAGCAAAGGATGCATTGCTGAAGAAATAAGAGAGAGATATCTACCCAGATGACTGTGACAGAAATTGAATTAACCAAATTGTAACTACAAGTGATTAGACACTAAAATGCTATAAGCCAGTGGTTCTTTAAATTTAAGTCATTATTGACTATTTGACTGTTTTTGCCTTGCACTGGACCACCAAGTTTTAGACATAATATAAACTATGTATGTCCCTATCGCAGGAAGTGCAGTGGAGTTTTTAACTATAATAAAGTTTACAAAATATGTACATAATCTTTAATTTCATAATAATAATATTATTTGTTTTCTCTTTTGCTTACTAAAAATAAGTAAATAAATCAAACCTGTGTTTTTATTTGTCCTTCTGCATTCGCGGGAATCTTATATATATTCACAGGATTTGGCTTGACCTTTATTTGGGTAGTAGATTGATTGTTTGTATTTTGAACAACTTTCACCATTTGCGGCTGTCCTAAAAATAGTAATTTTTCTATAACATAGATTTTTCTTTCATGAAGAATTCAAAACTAAGGTCTACAAAGGAAACATAAACAAACGGGGAAACATTCAAATATGACTGCCCACATAACATCCCAGGGGTGATTTTCGACGCCTAGTTTACTTTATCTATTGAACTCATTCAGGATAAAATAATTGTTGAAATATTCGTTAAAATCTTACGAAAGAATAACAAAATCGACGAAATCTAACGTTACTACTTACTAACCATTGGCGTCATGAATAAGGAAATTTACTATACTAGGTGTCTGGGACATTTTCTTCGTAGTTTTCCCAATAGGTATCCATTTACATATCTCACAAAAGCAACTCTAAAGAAATGAAATAACGAAAATAAACTATTTCAATTCAACTTGCAGGGTCAAAATGGCGACAACATATTTAGGATATGTTTGAAGGTCAAAAATTGCAATGATGAACGTTCTATAAAATAAACCACCTAATTTTTATAGCTTCTTGTGCCCTTAGACAAAATAAAATTACATTAATAATCCAGACACTACTAAGATAAATAATAAACAAGCACTTGAAAAAAGTCAACGATGACCGCCACCGGTCTCAAATTTTACCAGCTGATTGGATGACGCCTGTTCACGTGTATATTTCCAAAACCAGAAACCCCCGCCGGAATTTATTTCCGGAAAAGGCGCGAAACTGCAGTTGAGATGAGAACAGTGACATCTGCCGTAAAGCAAAGTTAAATTCAGCCAATGACTATGATGGTCTATGATTTTAGCCGTAGATAATGGATAACATTCTCTCTCTACGCTCATTCCGTAGATCATACGTTTAGTTCACTTTACTCACAAACCACAAACTATGCATAGTGATGTATCGATTCGATTACTTTTTTAATTAATTAAGCGATTCAAAGCGATTATACCTGGATGGATACCTTAATCGATTAATAAAAACTATTATTATAAGTGCTTTTTTAATTTAAAAAATAATAAGTTTTCAAAATAGGTAAAATGATAATAAAAAAAAATATAATTCTTTTTAAAGTATAACAATACATCTAAGACATTTATATCGTTGTTTCTTTAATTTTATGAAATGAAAATTATTAGGTGGAATGGTAGAATTTTATATAAAAACCATATTATCCACATTATCGAATGAGTAACAGACAAAGCAACGTATCTGGCGCTGAGTGAACACGCTTTTTTACAATAAAATGAATTTTTATGTTAATCACTATTATCTTATTTTAAACTTATTGTAAATTATTTTCTACATTTTAGTTCGGTTATCTACAAAAGCGTGTCTTTTTCAGTTTTTTTTATTATTATTTATTTTAATTTTTTTTTAGTGCGACTAACTACAAAAGCGTGTTTTTTATTAGACTGTCAATTATTTTCTTTATTTCATATTACTTATTTAATTACCAAAACAATTATTGAGGCACTAGTTGACCCAAACAATAGAAATATGCTTTTCTTGATGATTAAGTTATGTATTTCTCAGAATATTGGTAAGCCGTATTTACATTTTGCTGCTCATATAGCCGTAGTGCTCACGGCAGATCTTTCAAATGTCTGCCTTATAAACTGTCGATGGTTAGTCCTGTGGCTAACCGGGTTTCAAGGTACAAATTGGAACACTCCTTTGTGACTCGGACTGGAGTTTACGTATACGTCAGAGAGGACATCTGTTCTCGACGCCTTAGCAGTCTTGAAGGTTCGGACCTGTCCATCCTTTGGCTACGCGTAGACAGTGACAACCATCCGCGCGTCTACGGGTGCCTCTATAGGTCACATGGCGGTAATGCCGAAGCAGACCGACTCATCGACCACGTACAAATGGCTACAGATTCCTTGCTACAACAGGTCCCATCCGTAGAGATAGTGATCCTTGGCGATTTTAACGCCCACTACGCCGAATGGCTCGGTTCATGTTTAACCGATCAAGCGGGGAGATCTGTTCATGATTTTGCCTTGGCATATGGTCTGATACAAATGGTTACTACGCCTACGCAGAATCCAGATGTGGAGGATCATGCACCTTTTCTGTTGGACCTTGTGCTGACCTCTCAACCGGACAGATATCAGGACTCCGTTGATGCCCCTCTTGACTCCTCGGACCATTGTCTAGTTTGGAGTGTGGTGCCACTCAAGCAGAAATCACGGTTGCTTTCTGCAGGCTGCCGCTGTGTTTGGCACTATACGAGGGTGCGTTTTTAAGTTCACAGAATGGGTAGGTATCTACTGAATTACGTTATAAATTTCCTTACCAAGCGCGGAAAATCAGTTCAGACTATACTGAAAGAGATGTCATCCGTTTACGGAGACTCTTGTCCAAGTAAAACTATGGTTTACGAGTGGCACACCCTTTTTAAACGAAGATGACCCACGGCTAGGAAGGCCGATCGAGGTGACCACTTTAGAAATTATTCAAAAAGGCGAAAAATTAATATTAGAAGATGCCCGCCTAAAGAAAAAACAGCTCACAGAAATGGTTGGAGTATCAGATACAACCATTTTCAAAATTCTTCATGACCATCTTGGCATGACTAAAGTCAGCGCAAGATGGGTTTCTAGAATGCTCACGCTGCCTCAAAAGCGCGTAGTGTGTTCTCGTGCATTTTTGGACCTCTGTATGAAAGACAAAGATGGAGTGTTGGCTCGAATTGTTAATAGTGACGAAACTTGGGCTTACCATTATGAACGTAAGTTCAAACAGGACTCTACGCAGTGGCACAAAAAAGGCACACCACCACCCAAGAAATTTAAGGTAGCACAATCGGCTGGGAAAATCATGGCGACAGTCTTTTGGGACTCAGAAGGAATCCTATTGATTAATTATAAAGATAAAGGTGTCTCCATAACCGGAAATTACCACGCTTCAATCCTAGATCAATTGAAGGAAGTCATAAAGGACAAAAGAAGGGGAAAATTAACCAAAGGAATCCTTCTTCAGCACGACAACGCGCTATTCACAAGTATCATGTTGTGATGGCTGTCCTGCAGAAGATGAAGTTCAAAATTTTGCCACACCCACCCTATAGTCCTGACCTGGCCCCCATTGATTATTATCTATTTCGAAACTTAAAAAAGAACTTCGTGGGAAAAAGTTTTTTAGTGATGAAGAAGTGAAGGAAGCAGTTTCGGCGTATTTTTTAGACGAAGACAAATCATTCTGTTCGATGGTATACGTAAGTTAATTGAAAGATCCAAAAAATGTATTAGAAAAATAACTTTGGATTTTTAATTCCACTCCTTACCCCCATTCCGCGAACTTAAATACGCACCCTCGTAGGTCGGCCGAATGGAATGGGATGCGGTCTTTCTTTGCGTCCTACCCTTGGGGCGGGTTTGCTTCTCGCCGTATGATGCCAACGTTGTTGCTAATTCTGTTGCTAATGTGGTACTTCAGGGTATGGAACTTTTTATTCCTTCCTCTGTGGTGCCCATCGAAGGCAGATCTCAGTCATGGTGTAGTCGCTCCTGTAAAATAGCATCACGCTACAAGCAGGAGTGCTACCGGGCCTGGGCTGACGCATCAACGTCACGGGATGCAAACACCAGCGCCCTTAAAAGAAGTATAATTCCGCCTCCAGGTCCTTCAAAAGAGTTATTGCCCAGGCAAAGTCAGAGCACATAGGCAGAATTGGCGAGAAACTTTCTTCAAGAACCTATGCATTCTGGTCTCTTGCCAATGGCCAATTGGCAAATGCCAATGCTGCAAGGACTTTACCACAGCAAGCAATTCCCGTCTTGTGACACAATAGTTCCTTTCCGGCTTTGACAACGACTTGCTGAAGTACGCAATCACAATCCCTTGATCACCATTCCGTTGAGACAACACACCGCCAAGTCCTATATCACTTGCGTCTGTGTCAACTATGAATTCCTTGCCCGCATCAGGGTACCCCAAAATAGGTGTTTTGCACAGACGGTTCTTGAGCTCCTGGAATGCAATATCGTAACTTTAATCCCAGCAGAAATGTCGCTTCTCCTCAGTTAGCTTGTGCAGAGGTTTGGCTATATCTGCAAAGTTCTTCACAAATCGCCGATAATAAGAGCACAAACCCAAAAATGCTCTAACCTGTGTCGTGTCTTGTCTTTTTGAACCGGCCACTCCTTGACAGCGGCAATTTTCTCTGGATCCGTGCGGATACCTTCTTCCGACACTACATACCCCAAAAAACTAACTTGCCGTTTGAATAGTGAGCACTTCTTCGGACTTAACTTGAGGTTGGCACTCTGGATCTTCATGAGCACGCGTTCCAGGTTTTGAAGGTGTTCCTCAAACGTACGGCCTACAATGATGATGTCATCCAAATAGACCAGACAGGCATATCCAATTAGCCCGGTAAGTACAAGCTCCATCAACCTTTCAAACATTGCTGGAGCATTGCACAATCCAAACGGCGGTAGTCAACACAAAACCGCATGCTGCCGTCCTTCTTCTTTACCATCACCACAGGTGAACACCATGGACTAGATGAAGGTTCAATAACACCATCCTTCACCATTCCCTTAATCATGGTTTCCACTTTCTTTATACGTGCTACAGGCAATCTTCTTGGCCGCTGACGAATAGACAATTCTTGTCCTGTGTTTATTTTGTGTTGAACTAAGCCAGTCTTTCCTATGTCAGCTTCGTTTGACGAGAAAACATTGGCGTACTTGAGTAACAACTTCTTCGCCTTGACCATTTCATTCGGGGAGAGAACGCTGCGACAGTCTTCTAAAAGTGTGGTCACTCTCGTTTATCCATCCTTGCTGGGGGTCCCAGTCGATAGATATTCGCACCGACGCAACCAATCCACTTCCTCAGTAGTACAAACCAATGTGCCTTTTTCTATAATCTGTTCCTGATCACAAAGGTTCAACACACGTACTCCTGAGATGTCGGTGGTTCTGACCAAGGTTCGAGCCACTTCCCATGGAAGGTCATTGTCTACCCTTTATACGACTACACAACGATGAGCTTGCCCAGGATTCCGAGGAAGACTAACCGGCAATATCGTTCTTAAGGCTGTACACATTCCCTGGTAACGCCCCTTCCACGAAAAAATCCTCTTGTCCACATTTCAAAACACCTTGCTTAACGTCGATCTCACAACAATTCTGCCTCATAAAGTCTAGGTCCAGGATGCAGTCGTCCATTATATTAGCCACGATGCCATTATGCAGGTAGATCATGTTGCCTAGCTTCAACTCCATCTCCTTCTCTCCGCGGACGGGTATGCGCTGACCGGTGGCTGTCACCAAATTAATGCGTTCGCGGTTGTATGCGGAGTCCCCAAGAA